AAAGGTGTCATTTTCCAGCAGGACAATGCTAGGCCGCACACGTCTTTGTCCACTCGGCAAAAATTGATGGATATTGGTTGGGAATCGATGTTACACCCACCATATAGCCCCGATCTCGCGCCATCGGATCACCACTTATTTCGATCCCTGGACAACTCCCTTCGTGGTAAAACTTTTAATGACGATGACGCTGTAAAATCTCACTTAACTCAGTTTTTGGCCGAAAAGGATCAGACTTTCTACGAGCGTGGAATTTTCAAGTTGTCGGAGAGATGGCAATCGAACAAAATGGAAAATACATTACAGATTAAACTTCATTCCAAGTAAAAAAAAAATTTTGTATTTCATTGAACAAATCGGCAATTATTTAGTTGCCAACCCAATAAATTTGAGCGCGTGAAAGCTAAAGGTACGTGGGAACGTAAACACACAAAGAGGCGTATAGGGCACTAACCTGTAAAGATCATTCTCGGTGACAATGTCCCTGATGGAATCTTCGGGGTCGATGCGATCGGCGGGAACACCTGGCGGTCTAACGACCCTCGAGGACAATAGAGGACACGGTGGCTTGGTATCGATGACCTCGTGGAGGGCGCTGGCCGCGATCAGGTCGTCCTCGGACGCGGTGCTCGTCAATGGCACGCTGGGGCTCGGCGAACGCGAGCCGGATATCACGCCGAGCAGATCCTCGCTCCTCGAGTGCCTCATCTCCATACCGCCGCCGTATCTGCTGGTGGTAGCCGCCATCGTATGGTGGCGATAGTATGGTAGCTACAGCGGGCGCTGCACCGCCGATTTTTCCGCGTGCCGCCTCGGCGAACAACAACACACCGCCTTTGTCCTTCTCTTCCTTCCTCGCGGTACTCCTTTTGCCGCGACCTCGAGCTACCCGAAGGAATCGACGTTCCAGCAACTACTCCCATCCGGGCAAGCCCTCTTCTCTTGCTACCTCTCATTCGACCACGTCCGAGACTCGCCGATTCTCATCTCGTGCCGTCTCTACCTTTCTCTGTGCCTGCGTCGTGTCTCTCTATGCAGCTTCTTTCCTATCGCCTTTCGCTCCTCCGCTACGGAACACTGACAAGTCCCTTCGTTAGTATATGCTTTCCCTGACAGATCTCGATGTCACGCGAATTTACTTTTGTTCCTAATGATATGTAGTTTTATGGTTATGGTTATGGTTATGGTTTATGGTCTTGGTCGTTCACCTGTTAACTCTTCCAGACGCAAAAGTCGAACCCTTTGGTTACGTGGGAGTGATTACGCGCGAAGAAATTGCGATTAATTCAGCAGGAATGTTTGTGTTTACGGTGTAAGACGGTGCCGAATGCGTTTGGTCGGATGGACGAGCGAACACCCGTTATCTGCGAGATTTAGACTTATCAATATTTTTCATTCGAGTAATCTCGAGAACGCCGCTGTTGACACAACCGAGCCGACCAAAACCGAATATAATTGTTTTATCTTCGAGCGGCGTGTTTGAAACGTTGCGCAACCAACTAGATAACTATTTTTTCTTTTTTTTTTTGACAAATTTTCAAACCGTCACCCATTCATCCGTGGTACGCGCGCGTCTGCCGGTATACCACGGACCGTTCCGTTCTACTTGATCGCAGATCAGCACACGTCCGTCCGATTTCCCGATACGTAACACACCACGAGAGCTCCAATAACGGGTGTAACGTTTAGATAACACACGATTACCCGAGAGATCACCCTCGAAGCTGCCCACTTTCTCGACTTTAGTACAGGGTGGTTAGAAGACACCGCCGGGGATACCGGAGCGTTTTTTTTTAGCCGTCGCACGCGTTACCGACGGTATTCTATCGTTGGGAAATGGTAGCTCCGTTAAAGACAGGAGAACGAACAGGTTAACACCGTCGAAGTAAATTTACTCGCAGGACTCACGGGCGAATCCACCTGGATCACGCACGAGAGCAGAGAGAATCCAATCCGCTGGCGGCGAACGATCGACGAGTCCAATCGAGAACGAGGATTCACGCCGCCATTGTCGTCGATTCCACGGGCGGTCGTGCAGCTTGCAGCACTCGGAGCACACGGGAACAGGTCCGGGAACGCGCACTCCCGTCGCACGGGCTGGCCTCTTTGTAATTAAAGTAATTAGAAAGAGCAGGGTGGTTCTTCACGACGGACCATGCGCGGCGAACGACACACGGCACGCACTCTACGAGTCGGTCTCGGAATCGTCGACTTCGCGCGGCCAGAGTTAACAAGACACTGGGAGATCCCGAGCAACTTCGCGGCGATTTCAACAACACCGGCTCTGCCTGGCCGCTCCGTTCGATTCCTCGTCGGCGTTCGACGTATCTTTCGCGAGCTGCGACCGGAGAGTGCCGTAACGGGAACCAACGGACACGCCGCCTCGTCCTTTTGCAAGGAAGGGGCATGTGCGGGAAAGGATAGACGCATACCTGCCTGCTACTGCGCGCTCCACGCAGGTACTAGGCCGGCATTGACCAATGAACGGCCCTTACATGGAATAGGGTCGCAGGTAGGTCCTTCGCCCTCCGCCCTTCCGCCGTTGATCGGTACCAACGGCCGGGAAGAGTGCTCTTCAAACCGTCGTTCTCGAAAACTCCAACCTGTTACCCTGTGCTCGCTGTCGCCTTTCAGCAACCTTTTCTTACTACTTCTTCGTTAGACCGACGATTCTTTCACCTTTTCATATTCGTGTAAACCGTGGTTTACGTCTTTGTAATTTAATCGTATTCGATACGAATTTTCAGTAAATTTTACAAGTTATTTTTTTTCTTAGGTTAGATCCTCGCAGGTGTCTAAAAATTGGAACAACACCCGGCAGGATAAAGACCGTGGTGTAACTCGGTTCCCTGCGATCTTCAGTGCGAAATGTTTTTGGCAAGGAAGAGGTTAGTCCAAGTTCATGTACGCATGGTTACTGTATAACGATTGACGCATCGCAAAACGGTGCACTGGGCTGTTCTCCGAGAGTATCGGGTCGAGGAATGTGTTACGGTGCGAAGAATGCTGGACCATCGTGATCCTGCGAACGTCTTCCATAGGGGATCAATGAACCAGTGATTACCACGGGCTACGAGCACTTGCATAGGAAAAACTGTGAATAATGTGTAAGTTGATGCACGTCCATGTAGGTAGCGTTGTGTGTACATTGGCTCGTTGATCAGAAGTAAAGAGGTCGCTCTAGTCACTCTACGAGTTTTAGGTCGATAAAGTAGTACTCGACTGTAATATAATATAATATAATATAATATAATATAATACAATATAATATAATATATAAGAATACATCATATGTTGATCAATTATATTATTATTATAATATAATATAATATTCCTAAGAATATTTTGAGAATATTTTAGGAATAGCCTAAACATCTTATGAGATTTCAGGGCTCTATAATACTGTTTGATCGACCGGAAAAATTCGAGACTTACTAGAGCGTCCTCTTCTCATGGATTGTGGTCAGTTCAGGAACTATTTTTCGTAGTATTCGAAGGAAATGAGTAAGTCAAATAAATGTATGCATCAGGTGCTGCCACCAACTAAAGATGTAGAAATCGGAAAATAGAAAGAAGGTAAAAGATGGATGTGGACACCGCTAGTGACAATACGTCGATAGATGACAAAATAGACGATTTTTGCGAGAATCCAACGAGAGATGCCTTGACCGAAGGTTTAATGAGTCTTCTGAAACCTACAGTGGATCAATTAGATGAAAGAATCCGTGCAACAAGGTATGCGTCCTTCTCTTCCACTCAAAAACACATAGTCATGCAGAATCACTCTTTTCACTTTCTATATTACGTTTATTTATAATTTGACACTCGTTGTTTTTTACACAGAATTTGTCAAATAGAATTGAAGCAGCAAATTGAATCCCTGTCTGAAGAATTGCAAAGAATTAACGAATCGTTGCAGTGTCCGCTGGAAACAGATTCCTATGTAAAGAAGCTGATAAATGCCAAGCACAAGATAACGATTGTCAGTAACATATTGCATAGTACCCAGGAGAGATTGAATAAGATTCACCAGGCCGTAGAAAAGAATACGGCAAAACGGAAAGCCTTATTGGATCATAGCTCCTCTTATAGTAATTCTACGAACACGTTGGACAGAGAAGAACAACAGGCAGAACCAGAAAAAGAAGACGTTACTCCGACAGAACAAGAATAATTAATGACCCAGGATGCTTATAGAAATTCTTGTATACCTTTAATAGAAGCGCCATGGAAACTCCGATAACTAATTTGTCAGACGCCGATCTGGAAACAGTCTACGAACCCTCCGAGGATTCTTTCCTCTTGATAGACGCCTTGGAAGCGGACTTAGAGGACTTGAAAACTAAGAAGCCTGCTATGTGTCTGGAAATTGGCAGTGGATCCGGCGTTGTGATCACCGCTCTGGCAATGGCTCTGAACAGGCACTGTCAGGCATATCATCTTGCCATTGACCTGAACAACAATGCCTGCAGAGTCACGAAGAAAACAGGCAAACTGAACTCAGCGGACATAGAGGTCGTTCAAATGGATTTGTTGAGCTGCGTGCGCAGCGATTGCGTTTTCGACATTGTGGTGTTCAATCCGCCGTATGTAGTAACCAGCGATCAAGAAATCCTGGATGAAAGGCTAGTGTTCAAGAGTTGGGCCGGCGGTATGAATGGTAGAAAAGTGATGGATCGAGTGTTCCCGAAAATTCCCGATATCCTGTCCGACACCGGGACGTTCTATCTGTTAACCATTAAAGAAAACGATCCCGAGGATATTTTGCGTATTTTTAGCAGTATGAATATGAAGGGCGAGATCGTAGCAGAAAGGAGAATCAGGGGTGAGCATTTATACATTTTACGATTTCAGAAAATCGCGTAGTCATATCAGGTTCGTGGACCGGATGCGAGTATGAGAACTCGAGCAAACGAGTTTAAATCTGAATGTTAGAGTACCGAAATTTGAATTCATGTATTCGTGTATCCGAATTTAAATCCGTGTACTCGAGTAATCAAACTTTGAATCATTAAATACTAAATTGCGCGAGTGTCCTTGTACTCGGTTACTTGTACCTAAATTGAGCAAGTACCAGAGTACTAAGATACTTGGATCTAGACTGAGCGAGTACCAGGGTACTCAGATACTTCAATCAAAATACCCGAGTACTCAAAAGTACGTGTACGAGTATGAGTACGAGCTGGATCGAGAGAGATCGGACAAGGTGGAGATGCTTCTAATAATCTAAGTAGTTGAAATCGATTATGTTGGTGTTATGTTAAGCAGTTGTTGTACCATTCTGTTTGTAAATAACTTAGGATATACTTACGTTGTCATTCCATCTCGCATTTGTTTATTACCAACATGGCTAGCAGTTGCTACAGCGAAGAATAATAATTCTTTCCAACTCTTATATACTTATATACTAACGTCTGGAATATATCGTGAGGGATGATCACGGCGCAGATAATAACGACACGTCATATCTTAAGAAACATAATTTATTTGGATTCGTCTAACAAAAGTCTGTCTAAGATCTACGGTTCTGTTGTCGCTTCATGTTCAGTTCAAAGAGTCAGATACATATGCGAAAACAACTTTTCCGACCGCTGTCAAATGCGTCAAGTTCGTTGCAGACTGCGGATGTTTATGCTCAAGAAGCACGGAATTCAATTTGACGATACGTAACTTCGACTTCGACAAAGCGATCATATCGGTACGGAGCAAAATAAACTATTCGACTTATCCAGTATTATAAAAGAACAATTTCACTCTGCATAAAGATCCGCGGCCCAGTTGTATTGTAGATAAGTGATATATGGCTGTACAGTCGAGCAAGTGTTAACGTGTTTATAATAAAATTCTGCAATGGTACGAAACGAGTGTCGCGAGGGTAGCAATCGACTAACAAGCAGAAACTGTCTACAATATCTAGAACGTAATCGTCGAGCGTTGTAAACTCGGCTACGAAGAAGCGAGCGTTGCTATCAGAAAACGATACGAGGGCGGAGGCTGGGCATCCTCTTACCTGTTGCTACCGCGTATCGATTGTTCTATGGCAGCAGAACCCGAGTCTCCTCGGGTCCCCGCTTTATCCCACGAAATTATCCTAGCCCTTCGACTCGTCGATTACCACCCCCAAACACGTCGATGTTATACGTTTACGAGCTTATAGACTTTGACCTGTAGACTCTTTGCAGTTTCACGTAGAATATCAGCGCACTGATCGTTGTCACGACGACGGTGCTCATCATGAACGAGGCGGCCACTAAGAAGCCACTATAAGTCATACAAACGTTCGTCGTGGTTTTCGCGACCTCTTCGACGTTGGTGTGCTCGAGATTTTCCAGCACGTGGCTGCTGGCTTCGCTCAAGTCGTCCACCATGATCACTCTGAACCCTCTGGCGACTCGTACAGGCTCCGAGAGGAGCACCGCCGAGGTGTTGGAGGGTCTGCTAGGCGCTGGGAGGCCGACCGATCGTCGACGTCGTCTGCCTGGCTCGATTTGCTTGAAAATTAAGATTCGTTTCGGTCAGCATCGATGTGCGTTTCGGTAGAATCGAACGAGCTACACAGCATCGAATTTTCGAATAGACTTAACACTTAGCCAACCGAACGGGGAGATCTCCCCGTTTTAAATTCAGTCGGTTGACGACCGAATGGATGATTAATGAAAAAATAAAAATGATTGCTTAATTTTATTAAGATTTGCAAGAGGTACGAATGCTGAAGAAGTAATCGATGCCATATAAGTTTGCTTCATAATTTTTGTTTAATCGAATGAAACATTTTAATTTTATGAAAATTTTTGAGGTTTCTAGCGCGGTCGTGGAAGTGTTAAGTAGGGGTCGATGATCTCGAATGGGGATGTTTGGGATTGGGCATAATTGAGCCGTTTATTTTGAAAGTGACATAAGTCACTTTGTTTTTAAGTCGATATAATATAATATATTATATAATAATAATTTTAAGGGTTTGCGTTTTAACACGTTTAAAAATATGGATGCTAACTTTCGAGAAGATTTACTTGTATTTGTTATCTCAGGATACTGATATTTTTCTCAGTATAAATAATTTCGTATAAACATTAAAAAATCACCGCTTTTCATTACGGTAAAGTGACTTATGCCACTTTCAAAATAAACGGCTCAATTGTGGATGGTTATTTGAGCGTCCAAAGTGTCTCTTGCTAAGAGGCCAGTGTTAGACGGTTTCACTCTTAGCCAAAAATTCCAAAATAATTATTCTAAAATTTCTAACACGTTCGACACGTCTCCTACCTGATTCATATCTGGACAGGGTTCGCAGTCGGTCTTGCAGAGCTCCACGTTGCATTCGATGAACAGGTCCATGACGTCCGGGAACTTGAAAGCCTGGAAGTAAGCGTACGCGATGATCGAAGCCCCCGTGTTCCCGGTCTCGTTCGTCTTCTGGAACGCTCCGAACAGCTTAGGCTTCAGTATACATCCTCTCTCGTCCGTCAACTGTAACATGTTGGTGGAGGACTCGTCGCGGGCGATGCAGTCGCGTACCTGGATACAATTGGATCGACGATTAGATTCGCGGCGGCTATTAAACTCCGATCGGTAAGATTTTTCGACAAAGATCTCCCCGTACTTGTAGATCGAAGGCCGGGTCTCCCTCGACCGTGACGACCAAAGTCATGGTCTCGCCGATCTTAACGAGTCCGTCGGCAGCAGCGGCGAACGGGCCTCTGCCAACCTGTATATCCAGCTTGGCGACCGCCGTGTCGCCGCTGAACGTCACTATTTCTTGGTTCAGCATGTCTACGGAAAAGTTCACCGTCAACGCTTTATTGATGTTCCCTTCCCAAAGGCACCTGACTCGCCTAACCGTGTCCCAGACTTCCTGAATACCCGGCTCGTTCTAAACAGAGAATCGCATTTAGAAAGTTCCGTGCATATTCAACCGTGTTCCACGATTGAATAATCAGCCGTTAACGTAAGAAGCAAACACTTAAAAGATACTTCTGACGCCTGAAATGGTGGAGGACGGGGCGCGAGCTCTTTAGCAAAAAGCAACTTAATTGCTTGTCCAAAGATCGCCCGTACAAATATCGCTCTCTTGCTTGCGAAAATTATTTACCTGCAGAACGAGGACATTCTCGAGATACGCCTGGCCAGCCTCGCCGGCGAAGTCGTTGATGAACTGCGTGCCGCAGGAATCCAGGCTCACGGTGAAAGAGTACTTGGTCTGGCCGGAGTTTTGCGCGACGTATCTGCACTCCGGATTCATGTAGAAGCCCTGCGAACATTTCTCGTTGACATACGATCTTTACACCGCGAGTCTTTGCGAGCCGATCGCATACCTTGGAGTAAATCACTCCGTCGAAAGCCCGATTGAACTCGATGTTGATGGTCATCATGGTCTTGCTGCACACGACGTCGAGTGCGTGTATGTGCGGCGGGTGCTTCAGGTCTTCGTCTTCAGCGGCGCCTTGTCCTGTCGTCACCGCGGTACCGCTGGATCCTGCGGGAACCATTAAACTCGTTCTACCTCGAACATTCTATTTTCTTTGGTTCATAGTTTTCCATTGTCCAGTAGATCCGCATTTGCTCCATCGATCTTTTTAAATCAACTCCTTTCGGAGGAAAGAGAGCCGCGATCCAGAAGAAGTTGGAGAACTATGAACTATTAGGTTGGGGAATAAGTTCGTGGCGTTTTTAAATTTTCTTATATTTTACCACGATTCTTTGTTGTTTGACAAAGTGTATAATATTCATTCGATAGTGCTCTTTCTGCTCTGCAAAACTGTGCTAATCATCTTTTTGAGTAATTTAAGTTTTTTATTACTTTCGAGGCGTAGAAATGGAATATCCAGGAGGTAAAAAGCAACATTTTCGACAGCTTCTCTCCTTCGCTTTTCATCGAGACCAAAAAGCTGCCTAAGCAGCCCGGGACATTTGCAACGTATACGGAGAAGGTGTCACAGGCGAATCTACAGCACGGAAATGGTTTGCGAAGTTCAAAAATGGCGATTTTGACGTCGTCGACACGGCCCGCAGCGGAAGACCTTCTGAATTCGACGAAGAGCGTCTCAAAGCACTTTTAAAGGAGGACGGTCACCGAACAAGTCGTGAATTCGCCGAAAAAATGAACTGCGATCATAAAGCGATTCTCAATCATCTTCATTCAATTGGATTTGCCGAAAAATTGGAACAACAAAGAAAATCGCCTTCAAATAAAAACGCTACGAACTTATTCCCCAAGCCAATAAAAAACGATTGACGTCTGTTGCTTTGCGAGAATGATGACACTGAATTTACCTACACTCTGAGCCATTTTTATCATATTGAGCCAAATTAAGATATTTATTCAATCAATTCCTGTGAAAAAGTATTCGTGATTTCGATGATGTTAAAACGAAAAATGTGAGACCGGCCATTTTGACGGTAGGCTTAAGTGAAGAGGACCAGGATTCAGATTCTGTTCCCCGAGTCTTGTTCGAAATAAATAGCTGTTTCGATTAAACGGAGGTCCGAATAATCAGAATCTACTACAGTAATATCTCTCTAATTGACGCCCAGATTGCGCAGAAAAGTGGACAATTTGGGGAGAGAAGATACGATTGTTCGAGCCTTACGGTTCATTTGTATAGTTATAAATTGCCCATAATTATAAAAACGAGTCGCAATGCTCGAATAATCGTATCTCCCCTTCCCAAATTATCCATTTTAGTAGACAATCTGAGCGTCAGTAAGGGAGACATTACTCTATACATTTAACGCGAAACCAAAAGTAACTGGTGTTTTATTGCTTCAAAACCATTCGTCTGTTCACCTTCTTGGCCTGGTCGCGGTTTAACGTTGCCGCCGCCGCCGCTGGTCCCGCCGGTGCCTTCCGAGGGTGGGAACGCCCCTCCCGGAGTGGGGTTCGGGAAGTTTGGAGACGATGGGTAGCCCGTAGGCTGGTCGTACGAGTTCGAGCCTGAGTCGGGCGTCGGGAAGGATGGCCTCGGGTTTTCGGTCGGGTAGCCGTAAGTAGGAGTGAACCCACTGGGTCCGGGGTATCCGCTGGAAGCGCCGCCATCGGAGGGACCGTAAGCAGGGCTGGATCTTTGGGTCGAGTAGCCGTAGGTGGCAGAGAACCCGCTGGGTGTCGAGTACCCGTAATTGGTAGAATGACCAGCGGTCTGCGCGGGGGAGGGCGATCTAGGGCTGGTCGTCGAGTACCCTGACGACGGCGGCAGGTACGTCGTGGAGCCTCTGGTTGTGCTGAATGGCGGGAAAGCCGAGGAGCCGGCGTTCGAGTAAGACGGCGGGGTTGGCCGCGGGTTGTACGAAGTCGACGGTCCGTAGGGCGACTGATTGTTCGGCGGAAGGTACGTCGACGGTCTCTGGCTGGAGAACGGCGGAGCTTGAACGGTGGACGGCTGGCCGGATGGGTAGCCAACGTTCGTCGGAGGGAACCCCGTGGACGGCCTCTGGTAAGGATAATTCGTTACCTCGTTTTGGGAGGGCGACGAGTAGCTCGGCTGCTGACCGGTCGTCGGCGGCTGGAACGGTCTGGGCCTCTCCGGCGGCCTCTGGGTGCTGTACGGGGGCAGATAGCCCGCCGGGTCCGACTGCTGGCGAACTGCAAGAAGAGCAACCTCGGAAATTCACCTTGTTAAAACCGTGTGATCAACGTTCGGCTCCAATGTTAACCCTCGTCCGTCCCTCGCGTCGATCTTACCGGTTTTTTTTATCACGGATTCTGAGCCGTATGTGCAACCACGTTAGCTGTGAACCACACCTTAGCATTTTTCAGAAAGAAATCTAGAAAGTTTGAAGGGAAGACCGAGGAATGGATGAGGGTCGAGCGAAAACTCGGGATTAGTGGTCCCCTGTGGACGGTAGATTAATACGATGCTGGCATTCGGCAAGCGTGCGAGTTCCAGGAAGCACGTATGGTTAATCGGACGCCCACGGTTATTGCACTTTGCTACGAGCCACTGACTTGTCTTTACGTCAGGGTACCGGCTCCGATCGATTCACGGAGTTTCGCCGAACTAGTTCGGCCCCCCGAACAAGCTATCGAGGGTAACGACCGAAGTTTCGTGCGACGGAATTGAGAACGCGGTGCTTCGTTTAACCTCTATGGGATGGTCGAGCGTTAAGGGAGAGGTAGCTCCCTTTGGAGAACGTACTTTTACGTGCGCCCTGCCGGTAGATCCCTTGAATCCACTCTAGGATATTTTGCGCCATCACGTCCGCGGGCGACGTTGGAGCGGCTCGCTGGACTCTCGAGTGTGCTAATGGATGTTAAATGGTTTTCGTTTATCAACTCGGATCGCTGATTAGTCGTGTTGACATCTGACGCGGCTGTCGGTCTCTCTCACTATATTGCGATCGATCGCGATCTAGACTAACGCGGGTCTCTCTTACCATCTGCCGGCGACGTTCTGACGAACAAGGCATGTCCTCCTCCGTGTTCCTGGCCACTGGCTGCGCCGAGGACCGCCAGCATCAGAATCGTTGCGATCCCCTTCATCCTCTCGACCTGCAATCATCCGTTCGTCACGCATCCGTATTCCGAAATTCGTGGTCACGATGAGACAACGAATTAAGAGTACAGAAAGCCGGAAGAGCCCCGCAGTTTCAGTTTTCGGATTTTAGTAGAACGCGGAGGCTCGTCGGAGAAGGAACTAGGGAACCTTGAACGCGTACCGCACGCTCGTTCCAAGGCTGCGAACTAGCCGTGCACGCAATAACAATAGAAAGCGTCCCGGGCAATTAGCTGGTTCACCTTCGGTACGAGAGGTTAATTAATCGCGGCCAAGCGTCTGGCGCGAGTCGCGCTCGGCTACGGGGAATCGCGGACGTGAAATTCGTTAGCCACACGGCGATCGACGTCGACGATTCCTCTCCCGTTCGTTTCGTCATAATTTCGACGGGGAGGTTAACGAGTCGCGGCGAGGCGCAATCGCTAAACAGTTTTCTGGTCCCGGGAAAGGCCGTTTCCACGATTGTTTCGTTCTTCTCACGTACATCGGCGAACGTTTCGTCAGATCAGATTACAGGGGGATCCGCAATCAGCGTCTAATTCCTCCCGCGATTCGGGGGCCGTCGAATCTCTGGTACAGAACTCGATTCGCAGCCAATTAACAGCCGCCGTCGCCGCGTGTTTCGACGCCCGCGGGCACGATTGCGCGATTGTCGCGTCGAAGCGGTAATTTCAGCGACGCGCGGCGCGTTCGAGATCGAGACAATGAACAACGGCGGTTAATAGCTTCCGTTTGCATTACGGACGGCTAGGCCGCGGTCGATCCCGTTCGATCCAGCGAACGCGAGATCCCCGCGAGTTTCGGTGCATCGACTCGCGGCAACGCGGTTTCTCCGTGAACCTGAGCCGTTAGCGATAGAAAGTTCCGCGACCGACTCCTCTTCTTCTTCTTCTGCTCTCGCGTCGACTTTGTCTTCGCCGGGGGAACCCGAAGCACACTGTCGCTTTCGACGAAGGTGAACTTACGAGCCTACGTGTCCCGCTATATCCATCCGCGCCTGCTTTCCATCGGCATCGGCACGACACGGCGAGATTTCGATTTTATCGGCCGCTGCCGGCCGCAACGGTCCCGGGGACGCTGCTCGTCAGTGAAACCGAATCGTGACACTGTTTCTTCGATCCCCGGGCAGGGAACGATCCATCGCGCCGGTACGCCGCGTGGATCGTGGATCGCGGATCGCAGCGAGCCTAAGCTTGTCCGGGCAAAAGTTCGTAGAGTCAACCGAGGGAATCGTGCTCGGCCGAGGTGAAAGGTGAAAGTCGCGGATGTTTCACTGTTCCGCGCGCCAACGTACACGTGGTGCGCTTCAAAAGTCTGTTAAATAACCGGGAAAACGGTCCCGAAGGTCTCGGATTCCTCAAGGTTCCCCAGATCTGGCAATTCTTCGCGAATTCCCGTCTACCGCGATCCCTTTCGAAGGTTTTCTTTCGAAGGAAAGTTCTGTTGAAGATTCGTTGCTGACGGGACGGCGTCGTGAAAAGGATTTATTAATTTTTTTTTTTCGTCTCTATTTATTGATTTGAAAAAGAAAATGTTAGCGTCCGGAACAGATTTCGTCAAAACAGGCTCGGCGGCCAACGCGTTAACGAGCGAACACGGTTAACCGATGAAAGTATCTTTCGCGATCCTTACCGAAAGGAGAACGTTTGTGTTCCTTCAAAGTGGATTTCAAAAGTTTGTTAAATAATCGGGAAAACGGTCTCGAAGGTCTCGGATTCCTCAAGGTTCCCCAGATCTGGCAATTCTTCGCGAATTCCCGTCTACCGCGATCCGTTTCGAAGGTTTTCTCTCGAAGGAAAGTTCTGTTGAAGATTCGTTGCTGACGGGACGGCGTCGTGAAAAGGATTTATTTATTATCTTTCCTCGTCGTTATTTATTGATTTGAAAAAGAAAATGTCGGCGTGCGGAACAGATTTCGTCAAAACAGGCTCGGCGGTCAACGCGTTAACGAGCGAACGGAGTTAACCGATGAAAGTATCTTTCGCGATTCTTACCGAAAGGAGAACGTTTGTGTTCCTTCTCGGAATAACGTTGTTTGTTCTACAATGGTAAAAGTGGATTTCAAAAGCTATTGCTAATCGGCCGGTGTACGTGCGATGCGACATTTTGTAACTCTTCAAGCGCTCTTTAATATTCCCGGAGACAGTGCACACGCGTTGCATGGTTCCGCGGTCGCACGTCGCGCGTTCATTAAAATACAACGCGCTTGAGAAACGGCACGGAGGGGGGATCGACTCCAACGAATACGTCCCGGTATTAATTAGGATCGTGCGAGTTTGTTAAACGATCCGGCCGGATAAAGGAGATTGCGACGCGATCATCCACGCGGATCCGTATTGCGCGAATGAAAATATGTGAAAGTTCGCATTGCGCAAATTCGCGGCTACGAACGTAGCCGAAGATTTTGCGCGAGAAGATCAAACTGCCGGCGCGTCCCACGTTTCCGTCCGTTTAATATCCTTTTCCCGTTCGAGGCCGAGCTCGACAAAAAATTCGATTCACGCCCGCGCCCGTCGGCGTGCTTCGAGCGCGCTCGATGAAAATCGATGGAAACGCTCGATCGAAACGGGGAAACTTTCGGTCTGTGCGGGGCTCGTCGCCAAATTTCCGGGCAGGCGATCCCCTCGATAACGAGCTGCGTTTTTGCTGGAACCCGTAGATGGTGCGACGTTTCGTCGTTCTCGCGAATCCCGAATTTGCTTGGCGTAATCTCCATTAAACGGCGAATTTCATCGACCTCTCTCTTTCGAATCGTAAACTTGATTCCGCTTGACCGTGGCCGCGGCGAGCCCCGATTCAAATCGACGGCCGTCATCGAACCGCGAAAGGAATCGCGATGGACCAGTTATGGCAGGCCGCGACGTTCCCCGCAATTCTGCGATCTGTGCAGAATCGAAACGAATAATCGACCGTCCGTTGCGCAGTCCGATCCGTTGACATTACCGCTAAGAACCGTAGCAAAAATACGCGTACCTGACAACCAATCAGACTTCAGTCCATTGTCTTGCCGCCGCTGGGACGGCCGCTGTCGAAAATAGCCGCGCAATTATCGCGGAAGATTCGTAAAGTTTGCAAAGAGTTGCGCGTAAGGTGGTTGTTTGCGGTGGCCACGGTTAGGCAATTCGTAGCATGCACTTGAGATGCTGCGGTTTCGGCCGATGCCGCGTTTCAGCGGTGCGTCGTGCCGCACGGCGGGGTCTTAATAACGAGACGGCACAAGGTAGTTAGTCGTTTATTATCCCGATTGCATAATGAGCGCGGGGAAGCGCTCCTCGCCGTCCAACGCGTTAACGATTCGGGGTGGTGCTCCGGCTCGAAAACAGAAACTTCGTTCTTGTAGCCTAGGAGAAAGACTCTCGCGACTTCTCCGACCGAGTATCTATTATATAAAATCGAATGGGTTTCTGGGAACAAAGAGAACGTTGCGAAATTTCGGCGAGAAAGCTCTCGATTCGAAACGTTCGAAACGTTTGCTTAACCTTTTAGGTACGGCTGAATTCTGCGCGAGGCTATTTCTCTGGACGGCAGAGTCTGATACTGTATATTCTGTCCACATATACAGGGTGTCCCAAAAATGTCTCGCAATCCAAAAGTGGCGAGTTCCTCGGGCCATTTGAAGCAACTTTTTCCTTTACGAAAATGTCCTCCGAGGCACCGTTAACGAGTTATTAACGAAAAACAGTGACCAATGAGAAGCGAGCTCGGCTGGCGCGAGGCGATCGAGCCAATGAGCGGAACTGGGCTTCGCGCGCTGGTTGGCTGGGCCGTCTCGCGTCAGCCGTACTCGATTCTTATTGGTCACTGTTTTTCGTTGATAACTCGTTAACGGTGCCTCGGAGAAAATTTTTGTAAAGGAAGAAATTGCTTCAAATGATCCGAGGAACCTGCCATTTCCGGATTGCTAGACATTTTTGGAACACCCTGTAGACGGTTGTAAATCGATGCGAAGACAAAAGAAGTGTGAAACAAAGCATATGAAGACGATTATTTGATTATTTGATTATATTATTATATAATAATATATAATATATAATATATTATATTATGTTATTTGATTATATTATTATATAATAATATATAATATATAATATATTATATTATGTTATTGTATTATATTATATATATATAATAATTGATTCGAACGATGAGCGAGTGAGCTACTAGAGCAAGCACTATAGTGGCGTGTCGTTCTAACAGATGATATCCACGGAAGCCACTATAGTGGCGCGTCGTGCCTAAAAGGTTAAGAAACCACTTTCTGTACGGTTGTTCCTCTTCTCGTCCAAAAAAACGCGAGGAAACGGCATTAGCAATCGGTTTAGATTTTTCTTCTGGTAACACTGTCTCCTCGTTAAAATATCTGTCGCTTTCTCACGAGTATACGCGATTCACAACACGTTTAAACTCGACTTCGTAATCGGCAAATACGCGCGAACGATGAAACCTATTCGTTTGTGAACCGTTCAATTAGATGTGTTAATGGATCGCGTTAGTCCGGCACCGGTAAGCGTGCTAATCGGGAACGAGCCTCTGAATATGGTTGCGAGAGAAGATCTGCCAGTGAAAACTGTTACGTTCGATAGGTCTGGGTTACGGGGACATCGATCGCCTTACGCGTCGAGCCCGAGAAAAGTCTCGCCGCGCGCGGTTTCTACTTCGCAATGTCAGCTGAATCGCTGCGGCCGAGAGTAACAGAGGCGAGGGAAAAGTGGTTTGGTGGAACCCAGAGGTCGGATCGAACTTCGGGCCTGCCTGGGTCCCATCGGGCTCGTCGCCTCAATGAATGGAGAGCCTCGAAACTTGCCGCAATCGCAACCACCGTCGATACCGCACGGAGCAAAGTCAACAGCGATTGCTTCCTTCGAAAGAAGAGACAATCGCGACAGTCGCCCACTTCACTCCCGCGCATCGTCTATTATTCGTAGCTAAAATTTGTAGATAATCGTTCGTTCGAAACTTTACGCGGAGTCTAGGAGGAGCACTGTCGTTCGTAAAGCGGACGAAGCATATTTTGGAATTGAAACGACGATGTATTCGTCGATGATGTATTCGTCCGACGGGACCGTCTCGTTTGGAGACTACGGGAAACGGATCGTCCTCGGCGAAAGCATGCCTTGTAACGAGCATTTCTATAGAGAGCGGCGCGGATACCCTATCCACGGCAATTTGTCAGCGCGACGAAAGCCGAGTTCGCACATACTGGCAAAGATCCGCCGATTCCAGCGTCCCGTTCCGCGGATAGCGACTCTTTTCTCCGGGGACTCGGAGGATCGATCATTTCCTCGACGAATTGCGACAACGTTTAAATTGTGTTTCGCAACACGCCGAGGCTAAGCCGTCCCACGTTCGCGAACGCCGCAAGGGTCAAGCCGCCCGAAGAGCCGAGAGGATTTTGCGAATTGTTTACCCGTTTCGTCTTCGTCGTCGGACTAGCCTAATTGCTTCTTTTCTGGGTCAAAGGTCCGAACGGCGAGATCGACTTGTTTCGTCGATTGCATCGTCAGATTATCTCCTAACTGCCGATGTTGGGTCGGTGGTTCGAACTTACGGAGCAATCGTTTCAATTGGGTGGATTTTTATTTATGCGAGACTATAAAACGAATTTTTTACCCCCGGCTCTGTGCGTCTTTGATCTCCCGAGGCGATTGGAATAAAAAGCTGGTTCAAATCACAAATGCCCGCGGTTATCGCAGAAAGGAATAACTTTCTATTTCCCCGGCTGCTGTAAAAGAAGCCTAAATGTTTGACATTTAGGTAAACACCGGCGGAAACATCGGAATAATTAATTCCATTGGGAATTAATAGCGAGGGTTTCGCAACCGAAAATAATAAAAGTGGAAAGATCACTCTTTTTCGCAACTTCCGACTAGAAAGTCGAGGACGCCGCCGTCCTTGAAAGAAATCGACAAGATAGTGTTAGACAACGATCGTAACGATCGGATGTCAAACGGTTTGTTTCGTCCTCGACGGGCTCTCGTTGCCGAAACGCTCGAGGTTGCAAAACGGACCATTAAACCTCGACTCGCGAGCATAAATCAAAAATCCTAGCTCTCTCGCTTCTCTAGCCAGTGTATTCCCTCGTCGAAGGTGAGCAACGCAGACGCATCTTCGACAAGCTGCGACGCGAGTCGCTCGAAAACGAGTAAACCCCCGAGGCGAGGGATTACGACATCGGGATTCCAATTTTTCCTACTCGTCGCGTTGCGCCACTAATTTTTATGGAACGCAAATATTTCCCGCACTCCCGCGCCTAAGTGCTGCGCCTATCTGCGCGCGTTCATTGACGCGCGTCCTTTTGCGAGCAATGTCGCCCGAACGAATCCGCAGGATACGCGACCTTGACGTAAATCCGCGCTCGTGTTCTGATTACATCGCTGCTAGACCGTTGATCTTTGCGCGCTACTCGAGACGATCTTTTTTCTGGTCGAAATAAAGTAAATACAGTAATGTCTACCTAATTGACGCTCAGATTGCGCAGAAAAATGGACAATTTGGGAACAGGAGATACGATTATTCTAGCCTTGCAGCTCGTTTTTATAGTTGTTGACAATTCGTAACTGTAAAAATGAACCGCAAGGATCGAATAATCAAAAAATGTCATTTTTCCCAAAATGTTCATTTTTGTACTGAAAATTGTTCCGGTATCGCCATTTTGTCGGGCAATGTAAATTGAAGGATTAAATTCTCCCTAATTGACGCGCAGATTGTGCACAAAAGTGGACAATTTGGGCACAGGAGATACGATTATAGATTATAAATTATAAAAACGAGCCCTGAGGCTCGAGTAATCGTATCTCCTCTTCCCAAATTGTCCATTTTTGTACTGAAAACTGTTCCAGCATCGCCATTTTGTCGGGCAATGTAAATTGAAGGATTAAATTTTCCCTAATTGACGCGCAGATTGTGCACAAAAGTGGACAATTTGGGAACATGAGATACGATTATAGATTATAAATTATAAAAACAACCCCTGAGGCTCGAACAATCGTATCTCGTCTTCCCAAATTGTCCATTTTTGTACTGAAAACTGTTCCGGCATCGCCATTTTGTCGGGCAATGTAAATTGAAGGATTAAATTCTCCCTAATTGACGCGCAGATTGTGCACAAAAGTGGACAATTTGAGAACACGAGATACGATTATAAATTATAAATTATAAAAACGAGCCTTTTATATATATATCGCACAGAGTTTTTCTAGCTTATTAAAATCTTAGGAAACCCGGTGACCGACTGTCGCGTGCAATGCGTGGTGTTTGTGAAAATTCGCACTTTCTACTGTTTATTCCATGAACGAGGCGTCGACCATATATGAACCGTTGAAAGCAGAAGTGTAAGTCAGAGAAGTTACATCGCGGATAACGAACGATGAATTAGAAAAGTTCCGTAAAATGCACACTGACACAAAAATTGTTACGACTCTGATAAGCCACTTTCAAGCTTCAACATAAAACGATAAAAAGAAATCGAGAGTGAAGCGTTAAATTGAAAACATGATTTAACGATATTAGATCAACCGAGCGAAAAATTGCCTTACATTTTTGCCTCGAACGTCGTTTAAACGCGCAACTATAACGCACATAATTGCCTTCGCTAATACGCATGTTTACAGCTGCGCACTTATTACACGCGCGCAAAGATCCCCGTTCCTAGCAATGTGCTAAGAGTCGTATCTGTGCCATACGAATCTGCGTAACGTTGTCTGTTCTCGCCGCGGGGCCGCGGCGGGATCCTCTTCCTCGCGTTCGGAAGCGTTCCGCCGGTCTGTTTGCCCGCTTTCTTCGGTCTCCGAAAGGAGCCGGCGTTTCTCGCTTTGCTGTGACAGATTCTCACGGTTGTTTTCCATCGTCCATACGAATTTACAGGCATTTGCCGCGGCGCGGAACGACCGGGCGCTTTCGCGAACCGTCGCACGAATCCTCCAACACCGAACTGCCCGATCGAATCGATCGCCGCGAGACACGGATCCGCGATCCGCGTATCACCGACGAGAATGCAGTAGCCGCGTTTAGGATGTCGTCATCTGTTGCTCTTTTACTTTTACCGTAAATTCTCAGAGCAATTCTATTGACAGCGCGCGGTGAGACCTTGCCACGCGTCGATCACGATCACTCTTTCGGAAGGAGATTAACGCAACCGCGCGCGATCGATCGCTTTCTCCGCTTCGTAGTGAGCTAACGCTCGGCACCGGCAATTAACTTATTAAAAATTACGCGACCGTTACGAAATGCAACCGCGTTTTAGAAGAACCCGCGCGCCGCGGCGAAGTCCGCGAACCGTTGAAATCGAAACGTTTCCTCTGGAAACTCTCAGGACTTGTCTTCGCGATTCGAGACTTTGTTTACCGACGAATCGGACGGGTCTGATCGGATTTTCACTCACAGATCGCGACGAGGAGGACGACGAGTCGACGTCGACAGGAAGGAAATCGAAAACGTGTCTCGAAAAGGATCCCGCGATTGTCCTGCGAACGCCGAGTGAAATATTCGTCGCGACGCCGCTTTCACCCGGCGATTCTTCGTCTCCGATCGTCGCGGGAAGCGACGCTGTTCCGATTTTCGAGAGAGAGAGAGGGCACGCGGGGTCAAATTGCGAAAAAGACTCACCTCGCTGCGAAGAAAATCCTTTCGACGAGAGACGAAGACGAGGTCGATCTTCCCTCGCGATTCGACCGGAAGATTCGCGTCGTGCGCACGCTTGTGAGAAAGGTGAGAGTGAATAGCTGGGAGCATCTTCATTCAAGCTTATATAGGTATTGTACCCCCTTTCCTTAGCCAGTCTGTAGAAAGAGCGTGCCATCACCGTCGTCCGCCGTAATTGTATCATCAACGCCAGGTCCAAAGAACGCCGGAGGAAAAAATCGCGGTCGAAACGGCGTCGCTCGGCGCCAGAATTCGATTTCCTGGATCGGCCGTTTTGTAACCTTTAATTTCTTGGATCGGCGGGAAAAAAAGCTTTCCATTGCAAGCACGGTTATAAATTATATATATGCAACGCGATCCTTGCGGCGACCGATACGAAAAGATGACGAAGCGAGAAGTCGAAAAAAAGACGTTGCAGGAAAATAGAAAGAAGGAAGTCAAAATAATTAAGATAAAAGATATTTAAATAATAAAGATAAAGATACATAATAATAGATAGAGATATATAATAGATGTATAATAGATAACGATATTTAACACTAGAACTATCGAGTCCTAAACGTGACTAACGTATACTGTTTTATAATAATGACGAGACTGGATTTATTCCTACGATTTTTGTTATAATATATGTTTTGATGAGAAGTTCGTATGAAAATGTCTAACAAAAACATTTTTACAGCAGCAGGAACTGGAAAAGAAAAATATGTTATAACGATGGCAAGACTGGATTTATTTACATTTCCTACGATTTTTGTTATAGTATGTGCTTCGATGAGAAGTTCGTATAAAAATGTCTAACAAAAACATTTTTACAGCAGCAGGAACTGTAAAAGAAAAATATGTTATAACAATGACAGGACTGGATTTATTTACATTTCCTACGGTTTTTGTTATAGTATTTGCTTCGATGAGAAGTTCGTATAAAAATGTCTAACAAAAACATTTTTATAGCAGCAGGAACTGTAAAAGAAAAATATGTTATAATAATGACAGGACTGGATTTATTTACATTTCCTACGATTTTTTTTATAGTATGTGCTTCGATGAGAAGTTCGTATAAAAATGTCTAACAAAAACATTTTTGTAGCACCAAGAACTGCAAAAGAAAAATTCAGAAATCAGTCGCTTTGACTGGTTTCGTAGTCTTAGTGTTAAAGACGGAGTTAAGATTTTTAGATCGCAATTATGGAGGTGGAGAAAAAGTCAACGAAGTACGATATAGAATAGCAAAAGTACACATCCGAGTGATAAATTCGTACTGTGCAAGATTTATTCTAAAAAGGATACAGCAATGTCTTTCTAATTGACGCTCGGATTGTCCACAAAAATGGACAATAAAAATGGATAATAAAAATAAGCTGCAAGGTTCGAATAATCGTATCTCCTCTTCCCAAATTGTCCACTTTTGTGCACAATCTGAGCGTCGGTTAGGGAGACATTACTGTAGTTCTAAAAATTAGAACTTTACGCGGTGTTTTAGGTATTACAATGATGTGAACGTATGGAAGAATGGAAAGGATCGAGAATTTTATAAAGAAAAATCAGATCAGCTATTGCCCTACTTTCCAGCAAAGTTAACATATTGTAAGTGAAACAAGTAAGTAAGAACTTGTACTAAACTCGCACAATGGAGGATTGGAGGGTTACCCGATGCGCTGACCAAATGACACTTCCACATTCCAGATCCATACGTTGTTTATTTATGTTTACATAGCGTCGGAACTAGGCTATTTTCAAACCTGTGCGTAGATTTCGCATGGTTCGTTAGAAGGGACGAGCCAAGATGGCCAAGAGCCATCCGAAGAGGGAATTTAGGGCAAACGTTGCGCAACGGTCCGTTAAATCAAGGTTTTCCAATTTTCCTTCTCCCTTTTCGAAGATTTTCGCGTACAGCATCCTTCGAAGGTGTAATAGGATCACCGATGACATAACCAATAACAAATAATAATGAACTTTATTGATTTCTTTACGGATTACAAGTGGTCCACCTTCTCGTACCTCATATATATCGCACAATAAAATAAAATAGAATAAAGTACAATAAATTGAACTCGAATAAAATACAATAATTTATACAACGAGATGATATATATATATATATATAGTATATAGTATATAGTATAGTATAAAAATAGTATTAGTATATAGTATATAGTATATAGTATAGTATAAAAATAGTATTAGTATATAGTATATAGTATAGTATAAAAATAGTATTAGTATATAGTATATAGTATATAGTATAGTATAAAAATAGTATTAGTATATAGTATATAGTATAGTATAAAAATAGTATTAGTATATAGTATATAGTATATAGTATAGTATAAAAATAGTATTAGTATATAGTATATAGTATAGTATAAAAATAGTATTAGTATATAGTATATAGTATATAGTATAGTATAAAAATAGTATTAGTATATAGTATATAGTATAGTATAAAAATAGTATTAGTATATAGTATATAGTATATAGTATAGTATAAAAATAGTATTAGTATATAGTATATAGTATAGTATAAAAATAGTATTAGTATATAGTATATAGTATATAGTATAGTATAAAAATAGTATTAGTATATAGTATATAGTATAGTATAAAAATAGTATTAGTATATAGTATATAGTATATAGTATAGTATAAAAATAGTATTAGTATATAGTATATAGTATAGTATAAAAATAGTATTAGTATATAGTATATAGTATATAGTATAGTATAAAAATAGTATTAGTATATAGTATATAGTATATAGTATAGTATAAAAATAGTATTAGTATATAGTATATAGTATAGTGTATAGTATAAAAATAGTATTAGTATATAGTATATAGTATAGTGTATAGTATAAAAATAGTATTAGTATATAGTATATAGTATATAGTATAGTATAAAAATAGTATTAGTATATAGTATATAGTATAGTGTATAGTATAAAAATAGTATTAGTATATAGTATATAGTATAGTATAAAAATAGTATTAGTATATAGTATATAGTATATAGTATAGTATAAAAATAGTATTAGTATATAGTATATAGTATAGTTATATATATAGTATAGTATATAGTATATATATAGATAGTATAGTATATAGTATATAGTATATAGTATAGTATATAGTATGGTATATAGTATATAGTATATGTATATAGTATAGTATATAGTATATATTATCTCGTTGTATAAATTATTGTATTTTATTTTATTTTTATTCTATTTTATTTTCTTATTTTATCTTATCTATTTTATATATATACTATGAACTGCCAGACAGCAATGCGTTGAATCGGCCAACTCGAAACTAAGCGATCGGAGTGATTAAAAATTGAAATTTCCAACTTCCTGCAGAAATTAAAAAATTCGAACGATACGTTCTCGTCCAGTCATTGCGCAACGAACAATTAATATCGTGATTGTTCGCGGCGACAGCTCGTGCACGACGATAACAAATGGACACAAAGGAAAGAATTATCGTGCTTTCTTAAAAATGAAGTCTCGGCGGACGGACGCTACGTTTCCTGGTCGCTTAAAACCGCTGGAGGATAAAACAGGGGGTGAAGAGGAGCGTTGGCGAATAACGTAATTTATGGTCGCCACGTATTTTTTACGCGGACGGAACCGGCAAAGACGACAGAAACCGTTGGAATCACGTTCGACGATAATGAAGATGTTAGAGCGCGTACGAAGCGCGAGTTTCGTCATTTGCCACCCTTACAAGGAGCGACAATACTTTTCCTGGTGGGGACATTACGATGCTCCGAGCTGCGAAGAAAAAAAAGTACCACCGAGAATTCGTAATAAAACCTAGTTAGCTGTTTTTCACGACTATACTCGACGTAACAACTTCGTGACGAGTATATTCGTCAATATATATTTTTGAAAATATACATAATTTAATATAGAATATCAAAGAATATCGTTATTTAACTTATTACCCCCCCCCCCTCCCCCGCACTCGAGTGGTGATTCTGAGGCACCACTGAAATTGTTATATCATATTCTAAGCTAATTTCGATATTATCTCAAAGCTTAGATTTTAAACATTACTGAATGTGTAGCTGTTGCATGAATCACAAGACTCAATTTCGTACGCATAAAATACACTTTGCCGTGCAAAATGAAAATAATACAAGTGAGAAAAATTATTTTAGATTTGCAGATAAAATGAGTTCGAGTGCAAAGGGTTAAATAATGTATTACTATTATATTATTTATTAAATTATATTTATTATTATTATATATTATTATATTATATTAGTATTATATTAATAATATTATTATTATTATATTAATATTATTATAATATTAATATATATTATATATATTATTATTATCTTTACTAAATTATATTTATTATATTCTTTATTAAAGAAAAATGTATTTAAACAAATTACGAAGAAAATCAAACATATAGCGTATAATTAAAGCAACTCGCACAATTTTCAAAGAAATTGCTAACTGCTTAATAGTGGAACCAGGATCGTTTTTCAATTTTTATATTAAAAACTCCGCATCATATTGCTCTCCTTCATACGCATGATTGTCTCTGTAATCAACGGGGCTCTTAAAGACCCCGCATACAAGGGATAAGGTTACAGTTTCCTGTCCGATCCTAAGGGCAACGCAGCAGTTTCGCGGGGGAGGATGAAGTGGCAAGAAAAGTTGCAGCTGCGTCGGTGCCGTACAATTGTCCCATAGAGCGAACGGATTCAGCAGAACTTGCTGAAACTTTCATCCTCCCGCTTCCTTTTAAATCCATACAGTTTTCGGGTCGACGATAATCGAGTGACAACAGTTGAAAAGGAGCGGCCCCGAAAGTTCGTTCCGGCTTCCCGATCGTAGAACTCGAGACTTATACGCTCGAACCTAGGATGAAAACAAAATTGTCATTCGGAATATCAATTTACTTCCATTTAGAGCGTCAATGAAAATTTGTTTGTCAACGATCCGGCCCGTGGACGCCTCTAAATCGTTTCCAGCGTTCCCCTGGTCGCTCGAAAATCCGCCGTCAAGCAACGCGCGCAAACAGAGAAAGAACGGCGATCCCTCTTCGCTTTATTAAAAAGCTGCGAGAGCTTCCTAAAACTCGATTCCTCAACCGTCCGTCGGCATGACCGATCGTCCCGAACAAATGGAAAACTCTGTGACGCGGATCGTGACAAACAGACCTCGCGAGCGGCAATAAAAATGCCCGCTTGGGAAACAGCGTGACGCAGCGTCTGAAACGCGGTAATTACGAAGCGGTCGTATTAGGCGGATTAATGAGAAAATAACAGGAAATTAACCCGTTCGCTCGACGAGTTTCGGCGTTGGACGTGGAACGCGATACGTTAAACAGCGGAGAACAACGTTAAAAAAAGAAAGCGACAACCGTAAAAAAGCGCAAAAAAAGGCATACGGCGGTTACGCGTTTCCAAAAAATGAGTTTTAGGCGTCGACGGATTTCCAGCAAAGAGAAACGGGATCTCTCGCGTAGGAATGTTCGTCGACGGGCCGACGCGAGCCAAGGAAATCGAAGCGCGGTTCCCGCGTGGGCGGCGAGACGTGTTTGCGAATTTGACGATTTTCGGGCGGCGACGAATAGAAAAGCCCCAGAACGAAATGACCTTTGGAAGCGTAAACGGCGAGGAGAGGACGTCGAGAGAAAGTCGCGCGGCGGAATAGCTTCTGCGATTGTACCGCGCCTCCGGTTAAGTTTAATACTACACATTTCAATAGTATTGCATAAAACCGAGGATCCAGGCCCCGAGGGGACGCGAAACCGACGAAGTCCTCGATTCTCTCGTGTTTTCGGCGAGCGGCACGCGTCGCGTCGCGTTCCAGGCGAGATCGGCCCATTCGATTTTTGACGTTGAACAACGCCTTGCGTCACCGATGTTGCGCGGGTTGAGCAAATATTTTGGAAACGAGCGCGCTTTCGGGAACGATAGATCGAACGACGATGAATAGAAATCGGTTGGTAAGACAGAGATCTGGCTTCGACGACGGTGCAATTGCTCCGGAGTGCTGGTGCCACCTGCACAGAGTGCCGCGAACCAGCGATATCCTAATTAAAACGTACGCGATCGATTCAGCCGCCTTTCCCGTCCCGTTTCCCGAATCGCACCGCCGCGATTCGAGACAGCCGATTTTCTTTCATTGGATTGATCCTTCTTCAATTTCATCGCGTCCTGCCTCTCCGTGCCACACGCGACCGTGCGAAACCGCTTTCAGGCATTCCGAGATTCGCGAATGCCGAGCGCGCAAAAGAGCGTTCATTAGCGTTCGAGTAATTGGCAGTATACGACGGAATAACATTGACGCGGACGCTCGTTATCCGTTCGCGAAAATCGTTAGGATGTTATTCGACGAGATTCAACGACGGGGCGAGATCTACTTCGAAATTAGTATCACGCTCTCCGGGTTAAGGACGCTTAATTATTACCCAACCAGTGCGAACGCACGCCAACTTTTACCATAATAACATCCGCGGGCTGCAGTTTTGCTCCTCTCCTCTCCTGCTCGATGCTTCGTAGATTCCTCGTAATTTTTCGAACGTTCCTTCTAACGATCGTTCCGGTGTCCGGCGATCTGGAAACTTTCCATGGTTCTTCTGGTCAGTCGATGCACGCCAATGACAATTTCGAGGGTCGCGAAAATTCGAGAGAATTTTATTACTCGGCAATGGAAACTGAACATTGTTCCGCAATCGCCATTTTGTCGGGCAATGTTGATTGAAGGATTGAATTCTCCCTAATTGACGCTCGTGCATGGAAATGGACAATTTGGGAAGGCGAGATACGATTATTCGAGTCTCAGGGCTTGTTTTTATAATTTATAATTTATGATCGTATCTCCTGTTTCCAAATTGTTCATTTTTGTGCACAATCTGAGTGTCAATTAGGGAGAATTTAATCCTTCAATTTACATTGTCCGACAAAATGGCGATGCCGGAACAGTTTTCAGTACAAAAATGGAC